TCTTCATTCACTCACTCACTCTAAAAGACCAGATCTGATTATCCAGTTTTGAGATAAATATTTCATAGAAACATTACTGATGTTTTTTATTGCCAGTTGTTATTCAGATTCCTGTATATGCACAGTTGCAATTATTTTCAATTTGTGCTTTTTTTCCTAACGCAGGTTAGTAATGTATAGGAATGATTTATATGCGTCTTAAGTCATAACATCAAAAGAAAATGCAACATTAACTCTCATTCTCTCTCTCTCCCACACACTCCCACACACAAGATTGTATCTGAAAAGAAATTATATGTTTATATCTCAACCATTCATTGACTATTTTGATATTAATAAGCACAATAAACAAAATACGAGCAGCTGCCCTTGTGACAAATAATAATTATATAAGCTTATTTTGACATGGCGCAACATGGTGGGCTTGTGAATGAAACCATTTTACATTATATGCTACAGAATATCTTAGTATCAATGCAATCCCTGAACCACGATGCCTGCCTGCGATTTGTTTATAACTTTGCCCTTTGCTGCACATAACTATGTTGACATCGCGGTCTGATTAAATAATCTAGGGATCAAAATACTGGAAACTTGCCATCCTTCCACTCCCCACACAGGCGAGAAAAGAGAACAGGACTATATCCATGCTGCGGTTCAACTTTGTATTTTTTCAGCGTGCAAAGATGTATATTTTCTAATTGCACTTCTTCCGGCTGAAATTGTTAACCTTGGAAAGTTGCCCAAAAGGCTGTGAAAGACGTGTAATTGATTGAGCACTATGCCACACTTTTGTGGTGACTTGACACCTTTGGGCTTTCTGCAGATTACATGCTGCCTTTTTCTGAAAACTGCATAACAGCCTTTTTGTGGACAGGCTGAAAACAAACAGTCGTATTATCCAGCTGTGTCCATAAATCTGATGAAAACATTGCTGTGTGCTATCAAAGACTTTAAACAAGAAAATAGCAAGTGTCCAGTGGGGTAATTTAATAATGCCACAGCCCTGTTACAGAGACCAAAAGTCAATTCAGACATTACATATTCCAGTGATGAGATCACTCCCTGTCTGCACACTCATGAAAACATATTGAGAAATGCCTATAACTCTTAGCTCACAATTGTGAATTTCAGAATTGGACCTCAAAGATCTCATCCTGTTATCCCAATATTCTATATATCGTTATAAGAAACTATGGAAGCTGTCTGCATTTTACATGCCTTTACAGGTATCCAGACACTGGTTTCATGGCAAAAGAGTTACCATGGAAGAAAGTAGAATGCTGACCCCAAAGCAAGTCAGTAGTTGAGGCTCATATGGGACAGAGGGGGAATATGAATTTCAAAAAGGAAAAGACACTAACTAACAGATGATCAGCATGTGGATAGTAATAGCATCATATTCAGTATTAAAGTTTAATTTTCATTTTGGGGTCCAGGATGGCGGGGGGAAAAGAGATGAACCTGGTGATGTACCATAAACAGAAGGCTAGCTTGGGTAAAAGAAACATCAGAAGAAAGAAAGTTTCATATCAACATCAAAGTCAGCAGATGTACCAACAACATGCAATGAAGGTATGGAATTCCACAGATAGGAAACTAATAAAATTTAGAACATAAAGCTGAAAATTAATGTGGATCCTGAATGCTGCAGTTTACTTGATTTAAATTACCCCTATTGATTTAGTTTTATGAGAAGGGCACACTAATGACTGAGGTTTGCTGGACTACCATCAAGTCACATTGGCATAGTCTTAGTCATTGCACAGTCCACAGTGAATAAGTAATCAGGACAATTACTCCTTGGGCCCTTCCAATATTGGCTTTCTCCTAGTAAGAATGACTGGATTGAAAGTTTATGTAAAACTACTCCTTGAGAACAGTCAATTTCACTAGATGAAACAAATCTGTAGCCCTTTTTATATTCTAAAATCAGTAGCAACCCATATGGTGGGTCAGTGAAGGCCTAACCCAGGTATGGAGACCCATATCCTAAAAGGGATCAACTTTCTGATTCTGTGAGCATTCCACTCAAATGCTGGCAAATGATGGCAGAATGTAAGCTTGAAAAGGATCTTGGAGATCATCTAGTCCAGTGGAAGAATCCACTACAGATCCCTTTAGTGACAGATGGCTAACCAACTTCTGTTTTAAACATTTCCAGTGGAGACTCTATCACCTCCTGAGGCAAACTGTTCCACCACTAAGCAGCTTCTTCCAACCTAAATCCACTTCCCTGCTGTGTCCTGTCATGTTGTTTGGAAGAACTCTGAGCAATATTGCCCATCTTCTATAAGACAGGTATTCAGATACTGGAAGACAGCTATCATGTCTCCCCATGCTCTCTTCTCCATGCTAAACACAACACCTCCAACCATTCCTTCTAACTCTTTTCTTACAGATAGCTTAGCATCCTGGTTGTTCTCCTCTGGACATGCTCCAGTTTGTCACCATCCTTCCTAAAATGTGGTATTCAAATGTACAAGTATTTTCAGTGCTAGGCAGAGACATTTTTCTTCTCCCAGGAATGTCAAATTTTGAACTCAATAGGTTAGACAGAGAAGTCAAAGAAACATCTTAGAGGAAGGGAATGGCAAGCCACATCTGGTCTGTTGCTAAGAAAACTACATGGATGCTTCCATGAAATCACTAGCAGTCAAACATAACTTGAAGGAAACTTATTTACTCACAGTGAAACAGTGGATTTGATATTTTTTCCTGTGCAATTTATTTACTGTGTTGCATTCCATTGCACTGTTCTTTTTTTTTTATGTGTTTACAAACATGTAATGATATGAGTATTTTGCCCAATTCAGAGAACTTTTAGTTGTTAGGCAGCTTTGAAGTTAAATAAGTAAGAACCAGTGTTCAGTTACAGGATCTCCATCAACATTACATTTTCTTTCTCTAAAGATTCTCAAGTGAAAAGATGGGAGATCATTTATTAGGGTAGTACTGAATCAAGAGTACAAGTAATAAGGGACAAACTCCATTTTATCATTCTGCTTTCTCAAGATTATAAAACAGATTTCATGTTGCATGTGCATTTAGTAATGGATGAACTTAGATATGTTAATGGACAGCCACACTCAGTAACATAATGAGGAGCAGCTGTTACCAAAGTCGCATGGTGATCTTTCTACATAATTACCAATTCCTGCTATCACCCTGAGTGATATCATCCCAATTGCAGTATCAACATTTGCTTTTGAAGAGAAGTGAGAAAGAAATGCTGATCTGGGTTATCTTTTATTTTCCCTAACAAAGCCACCATTTATGCTTTCTTTTTTATTTATTTACTAATTTATTCTATTTATATACACTGTAATCTACATGAACTCCTGGTGGTTTACAGCAATAAATGCTAATAGCCTTAAGGATTATTTAGAGAACTCTGGTCGCTTTTTAAATTTAAGAGAAAATGTTGAGTTTATGGTTTGCCACAGTAACCTGCCCAAATTATTATAAATGAGTAATAAAAAAGCAAGCCTCTTGAATACCCATGCCTTGATTTCAGAAGACTTGATGTCTTTTCCTTCTATGATCAGAACATTACAGCATCTCAAACTTTCTACCAGACTTCCCCAATCCAGTGTTTCCAGAAGTGTTAGACTTGGGCTTCCATAATTCCCAGCCACTGTGGCCAAAGAAAATGGATGCTCAACATCTCACTGGGAAAGGCTGTGCAAAACCCTTCAGAATCAGTCAGGATTGAGGAAACTGCTGTTAGAGAAGAAGTGTATACAATATACTTCTGAGAAAAGGAAAGAAGTCCCCGAAGTCATCACCAACTTTTCATGGATATGAGATGAGTTCACTTGCATTTTTTTTTCAAACTGACAGTATGAGAAAGAGCAAGAGAACTTGGTAGAGGCTCTTAAACTCGGACTGAACAGCCCCCACCCCAACTGTTTTGCTCCTTTCCAAGGCAGGTCCTATTTCTCCTAAGTTAGTGGAGAGCAGCTCAGCTGTAAATATTTGCCCTTCATGCTGAGCCCACCAGCTGGCTGAAGCTGCAGCTGACAGATATGTCTGTAAGGAAGGGAGAGAGTTAGACAGAGATGGGAGGGGGATAAACAGATTTCAAAGAAAAGAGGAAGGGGTTCTGTCCCTCCAACTCTCACTAATAAGGAAAAGAGAAGATAAACAACAAATATCCTGTCTCCTCACTCTTCATTCTGCCTTGATTTGTTTGCTGGTCCCCAAGTTACTGATACAGGATGCCAAAAGTCTGGCACTTGTAAGGCAGTTCAGGGTTTGGTTTTGTTTTTCCTCCTAGAGGGATGTTTCCTCTCACCGAAACATTTGTGCCAAACTACCCCTGACCCCACTTGAATGCAAAGACCTGGCACATTCGAGGTGACCACATTCAAAAGAGTTTGTCCTGCAGAGATGAATATGGGAGGTGCATAAAAGGGGCCAGAACATTTGGTATGTAATAGGAAGGAAGGAAGGAAGGAAGGAAGGAAGGAAGGAAGGAAGGAAGGAAGGAAGGAAGGAAGGAAGGGCAGAGAGAGAGAAAAAAAAGGAAAGGAAGAAAATTTAAAAAGAACAAATGCTGGGTTGAGTAACCAAGCTTTCCATGATAACCAAGCTTTCCATCATATCCCACAAATATGAATTGCAGAAGAGATTTTGAGAAAACTACAGGGGGGGAGGGAGAGGGAGGGGCAGGCCTTCAGGTAGCTCAAAACTCATAAATTTGCAGAGCAATCCTACCCATGAATGCTCAGAAGCAAATGCTGAGGAGTGCAACTTTATGGGGGCCTCAGCTTCCCAGGGCCAGAGGCCACTTGATTAGATCCAAGTGCGGAGGCTCCAAGAAATTGGCGGTAGTCTTTAAGACACCACAGGGCGCTCTCTCTCTCTCTGTGGCATCCCGTGAGGAGGATAAGCGACTTCAGAGGAAAAGGGCAGAGAACGGGGTGGAGGAAGGAGAGGCGCAGAGAGGCAGCGCGGGGGCCACAGTGCCGCCCGCCCGTCGATGGCGTCGGACTCACCTTGCTGGGCGAAAAGGCGGCCAGGCTACGGCCGAGCGAGTCGAGGCGGGCGCTGTACTCGGTGAACTTCTTCTGATAGCGCAGCGCTGTCATCTGGAGCTCGAGCTGCACGGCCGAGAGTTGCGACAAGAGCGACTTCTCCCGCTTGCCGGCCCGCAGCGCCTCCTTCTTGAGCTCCTTCTCCAGGCCGGCCAGCTTGGCTTGGAGGGCGCCGTTGTGCGCCTTGAGCGCCTGCAAGCAACAGTGCGAGCCGGCCTTGCGCTCGCGGTGGGTGAGCACCAAGCCACAGCCCTGTTCGCAGATACCGACCGGCCGGGCCTCGCAGCTCTCGCGCATATGCGCGTCCACATCGCGCAAGTTGAGCACCTCGGCGCAGCCCTTATGGCGGCACTTGGCCGGCGAGTAGTCGCACATCTCGGCGTGCTCGGCCAAGTGCTGCAGTTTGACCACCTTCTCGCAGCCCCGCTCTCGGTTGGCGCACTTGATGTCCAGCTTGAGGATGAGGCTTTTCAAGGGCAGAACGTGATTCAGCTCCTTGGTGGAGATCCGCTGGCACTTCACCGGGCAACTGCCTTGTTGCACGACCCACGGCAGGACGCAGCCGGCGCAGAACACATGACCGCAGGGGGTGGTGAGAGGGTCCTCCAAAACTTTGTTGCACAGATTGCATTTGAAATCTGGATCCACCTCCCCGTTGAACCGATCCAGCTCAAACCCCATCGCTCTCCGCTTTCACCGACCAAGAGCACGACTCAGTGCAAACGCGTCCGCCCGCGCGCGCGCACCCAAACTCCTCAGATCGCTGGGGTGGAAAGTAATTAAGCCCCAGTTTTAATCACCTAATTAAAAAAAAAAAAAGCCAAGAGGTTCAAAATCACACGGGGCCCGGGGAGAGAAAAAGAAAACGTTCCCTCGAGAGAAGCCCCGCTGCAGAGGTCACCGGACATTTATTCTCACCCCTCTCCTTTCTCATTCCTTGCGAGGCACGAGGAGCAGCCCAGACTGGCTGACTGCAGGCTGTCTACTGACTGAACTAATTGCCTCAGACTTCCTTGCAAAAGCTGGGGAGGAATCCTCTACCACATTGATCCTAGTTAAAGCGCAGAGCTTCCTTCTCCCACCTCCCTTCCCTTCTTCCCCTCACTCACGTACGGCCTTTCCCAACCCCTCCTGCTCTCGCCTTTTTTGACTCGATTTAGCTTTTTTTTTTTTAGAGATTGGGCTGGGGGAGGATTGGTTCCCTGAAGCTGAGAATGCTGTTTATTCATGAGCATAATCAGCTGTAAGTAAGGCTTGCCGGATATATGAAGAAAAAGAAAAGTCTTAGCTGCAGAATTCAGGAGTTTGCACAAGGAAGGGTAGATGGCAGTTATATGAAGCTTTGCTTGATAGGTTGGGAACTTCTGCACTGGGAAGCTCTTGGAGCACTTTCTGATATTCCTGGGATCCCTTCAGAATTTATGGGAGAATGTTCTATTTTATGGGAGAAAGTTCTCCCTATCATTGCAAATATTTATTTTGCTTTTTCCTTCCCTTTGTAAAGACAGCTGGGACAATGGAACTGAGGCACATCATGCTCTCTTCATCTAGTTCAGTTTCATTATTTTCTGCAGAAAGATGGCGGTTCTTTTGGTGGAGCTGTGGCGGGGAGGGGAATAATCTGTTGAACCTTCAGAGGAAAGAGGCATTATATAGATCAGTCGAACACAGGTTGGGGTACTTAGTTTGGCCCAAGAGCTGGATTGATTCCAGGCAAGCCCGTCATGCCTGCAGTGTGCAGAGGGCTCTCATGACTGTCCACCTTATATGGAGCTGTGAAGTACCATTTCTGTGGATTGATCAGATCCTGTAGCCAGAATTTCAGAGCAGTTGTTTGATTCTGAACTGTAGAGTTCTATCTTGGTCCCAGAGCATTTTATCAAATTTGCAGGTGACATAACTTTGGAGGAAATGCTAATCCCTTGGAAATGCAATTCCATACAACTTTAATAGAATAGGAATCCAGAAGCAAAGGGAAAGAGATTCTTGGCTTGACTTTTGTATATATGGAAACAGCAGCCTGATGGTGCTATAAAGAAAGAAAGAAAAGGCCGACATTGATACAATTGTAGTTTTCTAGTCATGAGAAGTAATATTTCTATCTTTATTTTGTGTTAATCAGATCTCATCTAGCGTACTGTCTCCAGTTCTGGGTATCTTTAAGAATACCATAAATAAAAGGCAGTGGAGAATGTCAGTGATACAGAAAACAATTCCCAT